TCCAATGAATGGCACCACTATGTACACAGAACAAAATACTGCCCGGTCCTATGCCACCTCTCAGTCATTGCCACATTTGAGCCCATTGTTGCAGCCCTCATGGTCCTCCTGATAACATGTCCAGAGCACATGAGAATTATCTCTCCATCCTTACTTCTAAGGAGCATTCCAGCTGTATTACTTCCAAAGTATAGTAGTTAGTAATTGTACACAAACCCACAAAACTATTGTCCCAGAGACCTCTACAAATAGAAAAATTAAATAACATTCCCAGTCAGGATCTAAAGTTATCCACTTATGTAGGGTCTCCCCACTTCTTCAGTGAAGGCTTCTGCTAGAAGAACTATCTAGAAAGGTGATGGCCTTTCTGTTACCATAAATAGCCTTGCAAGAGAAAATAGGCTATAAACACAGTAAATCGAAGGTGTGGAAACCTAGGATTTTTTAAATTTTTATTTTGTCTCTAGTGGCCACAATGGAAGCTCTGGTGGTGTAGTACTTAAGGTATTTGACTACTAACCAGAAGCCTGGAGGTTTTGGTTTTGGTTTTGGTTTAGTGGCCACAATAGCTGCAAGCTGTCCTTTTGCATTAATTATATCATTATGATTTTAGTTATTTTATGTTGTCTTTATTTCATTAGTCCATTTTCTCCCCACAGGACAAACTTTGTCAGTTGACCTGCTTGGTAGTTGAAAGCATTTTATGTTTGAACATTCTGTTAACAGTTGAAGCAGGAGAAGGAAGTGGGATAGAATTGATTGCTGAAAGGCCTTTCGCTATTCCTACTTTTCTAAAACAGAACATCCTTCTTTCTCAGCTACGATTAACCTTTATTTAGAGCAGTGTAAATCACAGGACTCAAATTTATGTTATATGCTAAAGTTAGCTCGTAAACAACTTGTCTTTTCACCAAATATCATTATTCAAAGGGTAAATGCAGTGCCCTGGAACAATTTCAGATTCTTACTGATGGCCTCTCACTGACCCTAAGTCCTTTGTGGGTTTTATCGTATAACACATAGTTTGTGGTTACCGAGCTCACTTCTGCCTCTTACAGAAGCATGAATCACCAATTGCTGAAAGCTTCCTACCAGTGTTGGGGAGGGCTAAATAAATGGAATAGATTTGGGCTTTCTTGATTTGATTTATTTGGGTACTTTGAAATATTCTGTTTCACATTAGTCCATCCTTTTGCATTCTCATGGTTCTGGCATTTTAAGTTATGATTCTATATCTTCTTGCTTTCGAGTTGGGATGGCAGGAGAAGAGAGCTAGGTGCTCAGAAAAAGAAACCCAGCGTTCAGAGCTTTTCTATTGTCCTCCTATCCTGAAATGAAGTAGGCGCATGCAGAAGACAGCCAGGCTTTTGGGTCCTGGCAGCAAGAGTGACTGAACCTCTCTGCTCACTTCTCATCCTGGCAAACCCACCAAACTCTTACATTAAAATGTTCTGGAATTCTAAAGAATCAGGGCAACTCCAGGAGCCTCAGACTTGATCTAAGCAAGTGCACAGTACACCTCTGAAGGAAATAACTGTCTGTTCTTGTTTAGCACTGGAAAGAAGGTAGGCTCTGACTCTAGTGAGCCCTCACCTTGAGATGGATGTCAGGATAGTCAACACTTTTCTAAGTAAGAAAATGAATAGTTAGAAGTGACACAGATGGGCCTGGGTGAGACCCAGACTGGCCTCAGCAGCTGCCAGGTTTAGAATATCTGGAGAGAAATGATAAGGTGAAGAGAAGAATGAGAACTGTGCTTAGTGATACGTATCTTGGGGCCTCTCTGACTCTCTCCTCATAAATGCAAGGGTCACAGTATAGATAAGAGGATTTAGGGCTTATGATAAGGTGGAATTTTGAGATACTGCAATTCTCTTACCATGCTTAGAGGAAGTAAGAGTGAAAGAAAGGTTAGTATGTAGTACTCTCTATCCTTAAAGGGCTCTTGGGAGTCATTTTATTTTCCCTGTTGATAACCTAGTCTTAGACAAAGTCTGGACTAGAATTATTGAGATCTTAGCTTCATACTGGGAGCTCTGGTAGCATAGTGCCTAAGGCATGTGACTGCTAACCAGAAGCCTGGTGGTTCAAACCTACCAGCCACTCTGCGAAAGGAAGACAGGACAATCTATTTCAGTAGAGACACTGCCTCAGAAACCCGAAGAGGGTTTGTAAGGAGTTGAGATCGACTAGAAGGCAGTGAGGTTTTTTTTTTTTTTTTTTTTTCCTAGTTTTAGCTTCATATAGGACTCTTTTGACCCTCGATTTCTCTAAATAGAGGTAGTACTCTCAATAGCAAGGCGCCCTGGTAGCTCAAAGGTTAAGCATTTGCCTGCTACCCGGAAGGGTGGTGGTTTGAACCCACCTACCCACACCCCAGGAAAAAGACCTGGTGATCTGCTTCTATGAAAATTACAGCCTAGAAAACCCTATGGGGCAGTTCTGCCCTGTCACATGGGGCCATTATGAGTCAAAATCAACTGAATGGCACCTTAGAACAGCAACAACTCTGAAAAGTAGTAACTTGTACAATTCAGATCTCTGGAACTACTGACTGGCTTACTCATACAGGGACAGCAGACCTCTGGAATTCTGTAAGATACAGTATTTGCTGCTTCTTGTTCTTACCTAATAGCAACTACCATTTTTAGTAATAGCGTGTAGTATACAAATATCTACTCATATTTTGAATGGGTGGGCTAGAAATTATTTTTAGAAAGAGAAAAGTCCATATTAGATGCTTCAGTTTCAAGGGAAAAAGGCGAAGTTTGAAGCTCTGGTGGCGCAGTGCCTAAGGCACTTGACTGCTAACCAGAAGGCTGATGGTTCAAACCCACCAGCCACTCCTCGGAAGGAAGGTTGGGCAATCTACTTCTGTAGTGATACCACCTTGGAAACCCAAGGAGGGGTTGCTAGGAGTCGGATCCGACTCGATGGCACATAACAACAACACAACAACAAGGAAAACCGAGGAGAAGGCCAATTTTTCTTGATCTGCCCACCTCTATCAATATGCAGGTGTTCACTCATGACAATTTACTAATCATCCTCTTGGCTGCTGTTCACGGCCTTAGAGTCTGTGGCAGACTCCTGCCAACCACATGCACAACAGATTGAAATGCCGCCTAGTCTTGTACCATCCCCTGATCCTTGTGGATCAGACCACTGCGATTCACAGGGTTTTCATCGGCTGGTTTTCAGAAGGAGATCGCCAGGTCTTTTTTCCTGGTCCATTTTAGTCTAGAAGTTCTGCTGAAACCTGTTCAGCATTATAGCAACACATAAGCTTCCACTGACAGACAGATGGTGGCTGCACATAAAGTGCATTGGCCAGGAATCGAACCTGGATCTCCCACATGGAAGAATACTACTGCTGAACCACCAGTGCTTCCCAATCATCGTTTAGCTGCCTTTAATGAAGTGTCAGGCACTAGGCTATGCACTTCATATTGTCCATACCAGTCCTATAAGTTTTATTGTTTTCCTCAATTTTGACTTATGGGGTGAAGTAACCCCCCAGCCCTCACACAACGAGGAAAAGGCAGCACTGGGACATGTGTCAGGTGAAATGTGTCCCCCTCTTGGTTTATCCTTTCCCATCTCTGCTAAGACAGCTCTTCTGAGTATAGTAAGTTGATGTTTACTCTCAGCCAAGATGTTAAGTGATTATTGCGGTGTTTAAGTGACAACAGCTTAAACTAACTCTAAGCACTCTTCCTTTGCTTCTGCAAATATCTGTATTTTAAGTAACTCAAACACAGAAAAGATGTAGTGAAGGAACAATGGGGTCAGGGTTATCATTAAGGCAGGGGCTACCTAAGATTCTTGAAATCATTCCAGGTCTCTGCTGATAAGCCCAGCATTCCACAGCACAGCTGGATATACATTGCTGTTGTTGTTGTTGGTAGGTGCCATCAAATAGGCTCAAAGGTAGCATAGTGCCTAAGGCATTTGACTGCTAACCAGAAGGCTGGCAGTTCACACCCGCTAGCCACTCCTTGGACAGAAGATTGGGCAATCTACTTCTGTAGAGATAGCGCCCCAGAAACCCAAAACCAAACAAAACTCACTGCCATCCAGTCAGATCCAACTCATAGCAACCCCTCCTTGAGTTTCTGAGGCAGTATCACTAAGGAAGTAGATTGCCCCATCTTCTTTCCAAGGAGTGGCTGGTGGGTTTGAACCCCCAGCCTTCTGGTTAGCAGTCACATGCCTTAGGCACTACACCACCAGAGCTCCCATGAGGTGACTGAAAATGCCATGGTTTTAATCAGATTCGCTTTAGTCATCAAAGTGACAGTTTTGCTTTTAAAAACCTTGAAAAGGTCCTTTAATTTCTTGACTGCTGCTTCCATGGGTGTTGATTTTTGATGCAAGAAGAATAAAGTCCTTGACAAGTCAGACACATAGTTGATTAGCTGATTAAAAATCAGTTAATGTTTTCATTACTCATAAACAGAGCTCAAGGAAAGCCATTTTGGTTAACTTTGTTTCTCTTTCCTAACAATGCATCAATTTTATCCATCAACTCTAAATATGTATCTGCAAATTTTAAAACCAAACCATTGCTGTAAAGTTGATTCAGACTCATAGTGACCCTATAGGACAGAGTGGAGCTGCCCTATAGGATTTCCAAGGCTGTAATCTTTATGGAAGCAGACTGCCACATCTCTCTCCCATGGAGTGGCTGATGGATTTGAACCACCAAATTTTCAGTTAGCAGCCTGGCACTTAAACACTGCATCGCCAGAGCTTCTGTAAGTTTTAAATGAGCATTATTCCTAGACAAATGTGCTATTTTAGCTTTTCTACAACTTTTGGGTTTATTCTTAAAAAAAAAAAAAAAAAAAGTAAATATACTCCACTTCATGAAAAATTAAGCTTTGCTTTATTTTATCAATATTTTGAATAACCAGCTATAAAGGTGAGCTTGTCATGTTGCTTTTTACTGGAATGTCTTTATGATCTTTTGTCTTATTTGTGCTTGATCATAATTTTAGTGCAAACATACTTTTGGATGATCAATTTCAACCTAAACTAACTGATTTTGCCATGGCACACTTCCGACCCCACCTAGAACATCAGAGTTCTACCATAAACATGACCAGCAGCAGCAGTAAACATCTGTGGTATATGCCAGAAGAGTATATCAGACAGGGCAAACTTTCCATTAAAACAGATGTCTACAGCTTTGGAATTGTAAGTACCAACTACAGTTAACAAAGGCGGAAAGTTTATCACTGAGAATATTCTAAATTGTAAGAATTTTTTAAAGGGCTTTAACTTTTAATCTTATGGTTTCCTGTTACTCATTATCTTATGAATTAATTCTTTGTAATAAGTAATAAAACATAAAGTGATTAATTAAAATGAACTATTCATTGTTATGGTTAATAGCTGCAACCACTATTTGTGATATATGAAGATATAGCCTAACTTTATATATATCCTTGTAGGTAATAATGGAAGTTCTAACAGGTTGTAAAGTGGTGTTAGATGATCCAAAACATATCCGGCTGGTAAGAATTTCTCCATCTCTGCATCTATCATTGGTGATTTTCCTGAGTTCTACAAAATAAGCTTGTCTCCTTCTTTTCCTAGAGGGATCTCCTCATGGAGCTGATGGAGAAGAGAGGCCTCAATTCGTGTCTTTCATTTTTAGATAAGGGAATAAATGCCTGTCCTCGGAATTTCTCTGCCAGACTATTCTCTTTGGCAGGCCAGTGTGTTGCAACGCGGGCCAAGTTAAGGCCGCTGATGGATGAAGTACGTATACACATGGTTTTACCCAAAACTAAGCCCACAGAACCATGGAAAATTTAAATTGGATAAGTTGTGTATCTAAGTGAATTATTTATTGCTGAGACAAATCCAGCCCCCAACAGAGGATTCCAACATAGTGCATAGCTTTTCCAGGTCAAAAAGTCCTACCATTTAGATTGTTGTTGTTGTTGTTGTTATGTACCATTGAGTCGGCCCGACTCATAGTGACCCCTCCTTGGGTTTCCGAGGCAGTATCACTACGGAAGCAGATTGCCCCATCTACCAAATCAGTTGGGGAGCTTTTAAAGTACATATGCCTAGGCCTCAAACTTAAGATTTTGGGGAATGACAATCTCTATGATGAGTCCTACTGATCTGTATCTTAAGAAAGTCCCTGAGGTAATTTTAACCCAATGGTCCACAAACTGGCATTTGAGAACTATAGATTGGACAGCCTATCTCCCACATAAATCCTCCATGTATTTATTACAGTTGAAGTAAAAAATGTAGAGACTCACCCAAGTTCACGAAGCTAGTTGTGGCAAGTCTGGGACTAACACTGAAGTCTCTTGATATTTAATTTTGTGCAGGTTCCTTTATACTTTGCTTCAAGTCACTTAATTTACTCATTAAAATGAAGACGTTTCACTAATCTTTGGGGCATTTGTGGTTCAGTGGTAGAATCCTTGTCTTCCATGTGGGAGACCTGCATTCAGTTCCAGGCGAAGGCATCTCAAGTGCAGCCACTACTCGTCTGTCAGCGGAGGCTTGCATGTTGCTATGATGCTGCACAAATTTTAGTGAAGTATCCAGACTAAGATAGATTAGGAATAAAGGTCTGGCAATCTCCTGAAAATCACCCAGTGAAAACCCTATGGATCACTATGGTCCTATCTGCAACTGATCCTGGGGACGGTGCAGGACCAGGCAGGGTTCTGTTCTGTTGTACACTCAGCCACTGTGAGTTAAGGGCCTACTTGTTAGCAGCTAATAACAACAAAAACTAATCTTTAAGGTCCTTTCTCATTCAGAATTCTATAGTTGAATTTATTTGATGAAAGTGAAAGAGTATTTTTTTCAATGTTGTTGTTGTTGTTATGTGCCATCGAGTCGGACCCGACTCACAGCGACCCCTCAATAAAAACACTAAAAAAAGAAGAAAGGTTATTCAAGTTTACCTCAATGTTTGTTTCTTTGTTCATTAGGTCCTAAATACTCTTGAAAATACTCAAGCCAGCTTATATTTTGGAGAGGATCCTCCCACATCACTGAAGTCCTTCCGGTGTCCTTCTCCCCTTTTCTTGGATAACATACCAAGTATCCCAGTGGAAGATGATGAAAACCAGAATATTCACTCACATCCTCATGATAAAGATTTGAGAAAAGACAGAATGACTCAGAAAATTCCTTTTGAATGCAGTCAGTCTGAGGTTACATTTCTGGGCTTTGATAGAAAGGCAGTGAGTAAGACAAATGAGGATGCCTGCAGCAGGCCCAGTTCTTCTTGTGAAGAAAGTCGGTCCTCAAAGCATGAGTGCCATCCTAGCACTTAAGGGCCTAAGATATGAACATGGACAGTTCTTAGAGGCTACAGGAGATTCTCATGGGAGATAGCTAGTGGTGATGAGATGTTCCTCTGAATTTTCCTGGAAGGAATATGATTTCACCGAAAGATAAAGAAAAAAAGCATGTAATGCTCAGTCACTTGTCTACAAGTATCATCTTGGGTAGGCATTGCCTCCATAGGTAATGCCAAGAGGGTGATCTAATGGTGAGTTTCAGTGATGCAGATAAGCTGTCTAGACACTCTTTTCTTCCCAACCTCCAAAACAGAGTGGCTTAAAATTTAGTTTCATCAGGATAATCGCCTCATGATGGAACCAAACAACATTATGGAGAAAACAGGTAGAACCATTCAAAGTCACCTGAGATCATGGGCTCTGACTTCAGACATACAAAACTCTCAAATAGGGACTGAATTCTAATGTCTTCTTCCAGTCGATCAATGTAAGTCTCTATTCCGCTGGATTTCATTGTTTGGTTCTGCTTGCTTGCAAAAGTTATAAGGAATATCTATTTTGTAAATATTAATAGATACCTCTTTAAAGAATTACTATTTTGCTTATTCTGATTGGTCTTTAGTATTTTTCTGGTCATCTGTGTCATCACCAGGCTCACGCTTGGCCATGCCATGTTCTATTTAGAGAGAGGATTCCTGATCAAGATCTGTATTTTTATATTTAAACTCTCAAGACATTTGATACATATGATACAACTGTCAAATATCATTATAACTTTTTACTAATATAAAGACTTTTTATATCCTGGATTAAATAGTGACTAATTTTTTGCCCCTGAGAAAATGGCTGGTCACAAGGGCCTAGGTCAGACTTCGGGTCGGTTCTCTATCTTCCAGCATGGACCTTTTGCCCTGTTGTTTTCTGTAGGATTTCCCTTTGAAAATCCTACTCAACCCTTCAGGGCCCCACAGAAATGCTGTACCACCAGAGTGCTTCCCAAATCTCTCAGCCAGTACTACTTACTTTATCAGTATTTTTATTAAAAATTTTTTGTATTTGTTTTACATTTATCACTTTCTGAATTGTATCAAAGTTAACTGTGCCACCTTATCTCTCTTAGAAAATAGTAAACATCCTGTATTGGTTCTCTATAACTGCTACAACAAATTACCCCAAGCTGAAACAAAAACCAAACTCATAGCCATCAAGTCAATTCTGACTCATAGCAACCCCCCAATGGGTTTCCAAGGATGGAAATCTTTACAGAAGCAGACTGCTTCATTTTTCTTCTATGGAGCAGCTAGTGGGTTCAAGCCACTGACTTTCTGGTTAGCAGCTAAATGCCTTAACCACTATACCACCAGAGCTCCTTTACCACAAGCTTACTGTCTTAAAATATCATAAGTTTATTGTTTTACATTCCAGAAGTCCTTGGTATTCCTTCTAGAAACTCTAGTTGAGAATCTTTTTCTTTGTCTTTTCTAACTTCTAGAGAGCACCTGAATTCCTTGGTTCATAGCATCTTCCTTTACCTTCAAAGTCAGCAGCATAGCATCTTCAAATCAGTCAGTCTCTCTCTCTCTGACCTTTCTTATAAGGATCCCTGTGGTTGCACTGTGTCTACACAGATAATCCAGGATAATTCCCCATTCTTATCCAAATCTGCAAACTCTCTTTTCTCATGTGAGGTAACACATTCACAGGTGTGAGGGATTAGGATGTCGGCTTCTTCGGAGGCCATGATTCTGCCTTCCATAATCCCTGAGTATATAGAGATCATCTCTTCAGGGCCTAGCATGGTATCCTGTACAAAGCAGGTGTTTCCACATAAATTAAATTGAATTAAATTACCTTCATAAACCCACACAATCAAAATTCAGCTATAATAAACATTTCTGAGTAATTTAACAAAGTGGGGATAATGACTATCTTTGTGGTAATGGATGCAAATGGTGCAAAAAAACATTTCTAGAGGATTTATGGAATTTCCTCTTCGGGAAGTTTGTAGTAAGCAGGTAGACCTCTAAGTTCTGTGCATCAGGAGGAATAAGTTTGCACCTTTTTGGTGAGTCAGTAACAGACAATCATAAATTGGAGCCCAGGTTGAAGAATAACTAATCAAATAACAAAACCAGGAGTCAGGGTAAAGTTAACAAAGTCAGAAACGTGGAGCTGCAATTCTGGGATAAAAAGACCTCATGGCAGGAAGTGAGGTTAAAAGCACAATGAGCCTTAGTCTGATTAACAGATCTAATAAAGGCCCCAGGGAAATAGCTGGGAGAAACCACACTCATGCTCCTCTGCGGGGTGTTTGGCTGCCTACTGCTGTCTTCCCCACTGACCGTGGCATTCATGTTCACCAATGCTCCCAAACTCCCCATGTGTTAAAACTAATAGGGGAAAAGTTTGGCAAGCTTTGTATATAATTTTAACTTTTGTGACCTGTCTCAGTTTGACAACACTTGATTATACATGTTAATGAAAGGAAGCAGTTAAAGTCTTTAGTCTTTGGCTTTATATTATATTTTATTATATTTATTATTCTATTATTTCTCTTGTTTTCTCTTATTACCTTATCCCCAGATATTGAGGGAATTTTTTAATTTTTTTCAGTTATATATTATATTTTACAAACCATTTTGAGGCTGGTTTTGCTACCTTAGAGATGAAGTCTGAAAAGTATCTTCGCTGACTGAGGAAATTAGCCTAGAATCATGTGAAGTTGTCACTAATTACTCACAAGAAAATCAAGAATTGACTCTATGTTAAACTTTTCACTTTGAATCTGGACCCCACGCCCACACCGTGCCTCCAATGAAGGGTCATTAAAAAAGTTCTGATTATCACCAGCCTGAGCTACTATGCAAGAGCTCTGGTGGCACAGTGGTTAAAGTGCTCATCTGCTAACCTAAAGTCAGTGGTTCAAATCCACCAGCTGCTCTGTGAGAGATAGATGTGGTAGTCTGGTTCTGTAAAGAATATAGCCTTGGAAACCCTCTGGGGCAGTTGCACTCTGTCCTGTAGGGTTGCAGTAAGTCTGAATCAACTTCACGGCAATGGGTTTGATACGACTGGTTTGAGCACATGTGTAACCAACTGGTATTATGTTGTTTTGAACATGCTTAGTCACTTGAAAGCAGTGGTTCTCAAACTTTAGCATGCATCAAAATGACTTAGAAAGCTTGTTAAAAACAGATTGCTGGGCCTCATCCAGCGTCTGATGTCTTAGGTCTGAGGTAGAAATTTACTGTCCTAACAAGTTCCCAGGTGATGCTGCTAACGCAGGGCTTAGACTTTGAGAATCGCTGCCTTCAAGCATTCTTAAATTGCTACAGCTCAGGGTATTCTGCCTTTCCATCTAGGTTTATGTTTGTGGGTTTTTACTTTTTATTGTGATTTGCATGTAAGCTTACAGAGCAAAACAGTTTTCTGTTCAACGGTTCATAGACATTTTGTTTCATGTCATTGATTGCAATCCCCTCAATGTAACATCATTCACCCCACTTTCTCCCTGTGCTTCTTACTTCCATTCCTCCCTTTCTCACCGTCCCTGACTTCTGAACTTGGTTCTTGGGCAAATGCTGCCCTTTTGATCTTGACTGGTTGATTGTTCTATGGAGTGGTCCTCCCTGGTGTTATTGTTCACATTGTAGATCTGTCTATTATTTGGCTGAATATGGAGCTATGGAGTCTAGTTCAGTACCAGCTCTCAAGGGTAAGTAACTGAAAGCCATGGTCTCAGAGATTCTACTAGTCTCTATCTGACCAGAAGCCCTGGTCTTCTTTCATGATTTTGAGTTTGTTCCACATTTTTCTCCCACTCTATCCAGGACCTTCTAATGTGATCCATTTCAGCTCCCCTGCCTTCTGCCTTTTTCACCATCCTGTTACTCTGCTACAATTACCACCTCTGCAGTCATTTTATATGAATTAAATGAATTTATTTATCCATCCGAGAAGCTCTGGTGGCACTGTGGTTAAAGCACTGGAATGCTAACCAAAAGGTTGGCAAATTGAACTCACCAGCCATTCTGTAGGAGAAAAACGAGGCAGTCTGCTTCCATAAGGATGTACAGCCTTGGAAATCCTGTGGGGGTAGTTCTACTCTGCCCTGTAAGGTCACCAGGAGTCAGAACTGACCCCATGGCAGTGAATTTGGTGATTTTTGGATTCACCCATCCATTCTTTCATTTATAGAATAAATATTTATCAATAAATAATAAATATTATCCTCTGTCAGGCACTGTTCTAGTAACTGGGGATGCAGTGAAGATCAACACAAATTCCTGTCCTAATGGTGCTTACATTTGAGTGAATGAGTAAATGAATAGGAAAAGTCCTGGGAGAGATTTAATCCCAACTCTAACACTAACTGGCTCCTCTCCATGAGGCCTGCTGAGGGTGCCATCTCAGTGTGTTCTCTCAATGTAGGCCCCAGCTTCTCTGTCAGCTGTTTGGAAGGGTCCAGAGATATCTCTCTTCATCCTGTTTTGTAGCTCATGACCCCATGGTAGCCCACGGCTTTGCTAGTCACATACACTAGCAGTCTATGGCATGCTGTGTGGTAATCATGACAGGTTACCCTATCCTTCTATGGACTTATGGTTTCTTTAGGGCATTTATTTGGCTACTGATGGAAACTGCAGCAAGCTTCTTTGAAAGAATCTGAATCACCTACATATACCTCACCTTACTATCACACTGCACTGGAATTTGCCTATTGACTTATTCTCTTCTCTTCCACAAAGCTGAAACTTTCTTAAGGGCAAGGGCTATGTCCTGCTTATTTTTATATCCCCAGTATCTGGCACAACAAATGACCCAATGAATATTTGTCAAGTGAATGAATCAAATTGTCTTCAAAATTATTGGTATCTAGTATATCAAGACCATTATCTAGATGGTACCCAAAAGTTGTCTTTCTAATATTCAGAATATCATCAATCATTTGCCTAAATGGTTCCATATCACCATTCTTAGACATAAATTATTAATTTAAAATACTAATATATGACATAGCTTTGAAAAGAGGAATTAGACAGTATAAATTGCTTATAAATTTGCTTCATCCCAGAAAATATTTCAAAACCACGT